AAAGGTGGTAAGGCTGACTATTCAGGGCCATTGTGAAGGTACCAGAACTACTGCCATGGAATCTTGCCCTGGGGGACAGAGTGTGGGCTCAGCTCCACATGCAGCGAGGATAAGTGGGAATTTATAGCTAATGGGGAGGGGGGAGAGCAGAGGACGGACAGTTACTAAGAGGAAACATCAAGGGTAAGGGGTGGGAGGGGGGTTCTGCTAAACTGATCTAAGAGGATTCTTGCTGAAGACAGGCCAGTGATCCAACATCACCTGGGGGTGTGGAGGAGGAGGAACCTGATTAGATATTGAGGATGGGGTTCTGGTTAAACTGACCTAGCAAGGCTCTTGCTTACACTCTATTTACAAGGCAGAGCACAGATGCGCCTAGGACAGTGATGGCGAACCTATGACACGCGTGTCAAAGGTGACACTAGAACTCATTTTTTTGGTTGGTTTTTCTTTGTTAAATGGCATTTAAATATATAAAATAAATATCAAAAATATAAGTCTTTGTTTTACTATGGTTGCAAAGATCAAAACATTTCTATATGTGACACGGCACCAGAGTTAAGTTAGGGTTTTTCAAAATGCTGACACGCCGAGCTCAAAAGGTTCGCCATCACTGCCCCTAGGGTCATAAATTTGTCAGCTGCAGAGTATCTCCTGAGACAAGCGGGGTGCTCTCAAACAGCCCAGGGCATTCTATAAAAGGTAGTTTCATGCCTCAAGCAGTAAAAATGACCACATCTGGGAGACATGGACTATTCTATCCTTTCAGACAGCTGAACCACAATTGCTCCCTTCAATCTAGCAATTTTCCACTAAAAGTGCAAGGGGATCTGGACTTATCAATCAGTCTATACTACCTGGCTCTCTATAGAGTTAGTTTATAAGAGAAAGTGCTTGCTCTGACCGGTGGGCTAAGTGGTTAGAGCATTAGCCTGTGCACCGAAGGGGGAGTTCAATTCCTGGTCAAGGGCATGTACCTGGGTTACAGGTTCAATCCTCAGCCCTGATCGGGGCATGTGCACGAGGCAACCAATTGATGTGTGTCTCTCACATTGATGCTTCTCTCCCTCTCTCTCTCTCTCTCTCTCTCTCTCCCCTTCCATCCCTCCCTTCCACTCTCTCAAAACCAATGGAAAAAAATATCCTCAGGTAAAGATTAACCAAAAGTTTAAAAAAAGATTAAAAAGAGCCAGCCTGTGTGGTTCAGTGGTTGTGCATCAACCTATGAACCAGGAGGTCAAGGTTCCATTCTTTGTCAGGGCACATGCCTGGGTTGCAGGCTCCATCTCCACTGGGGGGCATGCAGGAGGCAGCGGATCAATGATTCTCTCTCTCTCCCTATCCCTTCATCTCTGAAATTAATAAAAATATTTTTTTAAAAAAAGAGAAAGATCTTAATTCTATAGCTAAGCTAGAGGTGGATATTTGTGGGGTTATTCTGACTGAATTTGTGGGGAATAGATGAGCTGGGATTGAAAGATAAAGTATTAGCAGAAGTGGAGTGGATTGGGATGGTCAGAGAACCCAGAACAACAGGGCAGCAACTCTGGAATGAGGAGAAAGAAAATCAGTCTGACAAAAGGTCCTGAAGCAAGCTGAGAAGAGGTGAAGCATGTGCAGAGACTGACATCTGCCCACAGCTCATCTTCAAGGTACCGGGTTGGGGGGTGGGGAGGGGGGGGCATCCTTTGTATGCTCAGCCACTCATACTCCAGCAGGACTCACACCATTTTAATCAATTAGCTACTCGTTTTTCTTACCCTTATTTTAAGAGTGGCTTCCTTCTCGGCTATCTGTTTCTCAAGAAATACTATAGCCTAAGAACTTTCCCACTGGAGCAGTTTTCAGGCAGTAAAAGAATGCACAAAGAGAATAATTCACTTTATTGGAATCAACTCAACTATACTGAGTCACCTTAAGGTTTAAAATGTTATTGAGGTAGAATTAAGTTTATTTCTTCATTCTACCATAAAAATAACATCTTCATACTTATTGAGTCTTGAGCCTATAAGTGTTTAAAAAACATTTAATTTACTAACTTTTAAGGGTATTTGTTAAGGTTAGAATCAAAATTCTAATATTTGTTTATAATTTATAATACTACATGTGTGTACACTTGACTTTCAGATTTCCTTGGAACCTTCAAGATTAATTCTGATATAAATTCTAGTAATCGATTAATTATCGAGGCTACCAAAAAAAATAAAAAAAGAAACTTGGAGATAATACCAAGGAAATTTAAGTAAATGCCATCATGCTCATTCAAAATGGCCTACTGAAATGACAGGGGGGAAAAGCACAAACAAATGCAACTTGAATCCTTTACTGAAAGAAACAAAGGAAATTATAATCTAGGAGGCTAGAAAGCCAGAGCACGCCCTCTTCTGCTACCTGAAAGCCCATCAGATCTGTCTGTAGAACAGAAGGAAATGAACCCTGTGGGCATCTAGGCATCTATATTTGCATAAATTTCTATTCATGGTTGCTTTTGTTTTCTTTTTGGTTTTTCCCTCGGCTGAAGGAGGGGAGAAAGAAACAATGCTGAGAGTGGGGTGTGGCAGAGAGGTTCTGCCTAGGAGCCGGGAGGAAAGAAAAGGAGGAGGAAGGACTAACCACTCACCCTCCAGCCACTAGGGCTGGATTTGATTCTAAGGAGGAGGGGCCCAAAGAGGATGGAAGGGGTTGTTTTCCTAAGGGCTGTTGTGTGCCTGGAGGTGCAGGCATTGCTTCACTGGGCCCAGGTGACGGAGTGAAGCACTGTTGGGAGGAGAGGCGTTCTACCCTCTTCTGTAGGAGCCTTTTCACCGCCTTGAGGATTCACAGCTGTGGAGGCAGTTGGGGCACGGAGACGTTGACGTGTCCATTTTCAGTCTCACAATGGGCATCATTGGCGGTTACTGTCCACCAGCAACAAAATGAAGCCGGTGAAATGGAAAAGCTTGGCAGACAGACTGGTTGGGGAGCACAGGTAAGTCATACCTGATACCCCAACATTTGGAGGCTTTGCAGGGAAACCTCTATTCCAGCACAAGGAGGGCAATCCCAGGAACCCTGGATGCTATTGCCAATGGAAGTTCTTCTGAACTTTCAGCCACCGATGAGGAGGTAGGAGGCCAGGGAATCCGATTACATAAAGAAAGCAGTTAATCTTATTGTCCCTCAACAGTGGAAACTTAGTGGACTTGGATTTGAAAATTGCTTCACTAGAACTCTTCCCCATGTCTCTACTTCTGTGCATCTTTTAGCTTTGCATTTGCCATGATAAAACTGTAACCCTAGGTACCAGCTGCTTTAACTCTCAGTATGGAGTTAGTTTCCCAAAGAGGATGGTGACAGGACCAATTCACCATTATCGCCCAGAGGCACAGCTCTCCTGCCTCATAGGCTTCTTGCCAACCTGTAACTGAGTGTCCATAAGCCAGGTCCTCTCCCCACCCCACCCCAAACCCCAAAACTTCTGCTGTGACCAGGGTGGAAAGGTGACTTGACAGCAGATGAAGACGTGGCAAAAAAGAAACCCCTGAAATGAAGGCCATGGGGAGGTGACGGTGATGGGGGATGTTCACGATTGTACCCATCCCCCTGGGCACAGGGCAGGATCAAACATCAGCATCCACACTGACCACATCACTTGCTTTGACATGTCACATCCGGGTGAACATTTTCATGGCCCTCGTATGATTCATCCTGTTCTCTTAACCCCGTACAGCTGTGTAAGAGAAATGTTAGGATGGGTCCCTGAGTGCCTGTACTAAGCAGAAACTATAAGAGTTAGAGGTGAGAGCCAGAGGAATAATGTTTATTACTATTGATATAACTCTCTATTTATCTCCTGAAAACATGGGATATATTTACATCAGAAAATACATTTGAAACTTTCCCCACCCCCAAAAAAACAAAAAACACTTTATAGGACATAACATATTCTAAGGAGTTTGTTATTTTTATCTTAAAGGATTTTGAGTAAGTCAATTCTTTTAGCTTATATTCAACATGAATCTGACACATAGCAAATCATAATTTGTGGCAAATAAGATTATAGACATTTCCATTATGTAATGACTGTAGCATGATCTAGAAGTTTATGTCTCCTTCAGAGAGTATACAACATAGAGATGTAAATTCTTTTCATCGTAATTCTGCATAAATGCATTGCCAAACTTGGCTCTTGAAAGTGATAAAGTGCAGATGTCTACAGCTGCAATCATAAAAATGTAATTGCTGAGGAAAAATATTTCTGATCCATTGGAGGAATTTATTACAGAGGGATGCAACTTTGTAAGTTATCACACAGAAAAAAAATGAAAGTGAATGATTGAAAGATATCCCAGGCTGAACATTCCTGCAAAATGACCTAGTGATTTACCTGTGCCCAGAAAGGAAAAAATAGATTAGAGATAAATCAAGTTTGGTGGGAAAGGCTCTGGTAACTTTAAGAAGAGCAGAAAAAAAGATTTACGAATAAATGAATTTAGAAGTCAGAGTAACATAATAGTATTGTGACCAATTACTCCAAAAATTAAAATGTAATTTTGACTTTGAGTTATACACAGAGGTGGTAAGTAATATCCGTGAAACCTTAAAAGCCAAGGAATATAAAATGAAGATAAATAATGAGGAAAGGTGAGAATTTTTCTAATGTGGCTACTAAGTTGATAGCTTTATCTAGTGGCACTATCCATTTAAAGATCATGAACTTCTTTTGGAATGTTTTCCAATATAACCAGAGAATATATTACATATATAGGTGCTTTGAAAACTACATATACATATTATTACTGCTGTTGCTTTTAAAAGAGAATCGGGGGGAGAGCTTTCAGAATTTTATTATTATTACTAAATACAGACTTTTTTACATTTTAACAATACTTTAAATGATAATTTTAGATGCCATTCATTTTATAACAATCAAAGCTTCCCTTGGTTCATTATCTATTTTTCCCACATTTTTTAAGTTCTCCTGCAGTTACTCTACATTGTAATTTCCATGTAATTAATACCTGGATTATGAGAGGCTCCAGTAGCTTCTCTACAGTGAATGTTTGGACCTGCAGATCCTGGGGGTCAATATTCAGTGTGACTGGTGTTTCAGCTGACATGCTGCCTGTGCACAAAAACAAAATACATTTATGAATTAAAAAATATATGTTCTAAAGGAAGGTACTAATTAAAATCAGAGAGTGCATGAGATTTCAGGCCCTCTTCCTAGTATCAGCTGTAGCCCTCCGAGGACCAAGGTGTCAAGTCCACCGACAGAGAAGTGAGATATTCTTCAAGTATTCTTGGAGGTCGTGCTGTCTGAGCTCAGGTCCTCTACCTAATTAATCTGTGCTAGCATATCCATGACTAAAATAATCACTCAGCCCAGGAGGCTTTGCATTTGATCAGGAGTCTTGGTGAAAAGGAATGGCCAAGCTGGTGAGATGTACCTCACAGTACTCAAGTCCTTTGACTTCCAGGACACCATGGCCCTGAGGCAGCCAGAGCCCATAGTTTCCCTGTTCTTGTTAATGGTGACTCAGATGAGGAGCCAGGTAGGACTTTGTAAGACATCTGACACATCTCTACTTGTTTGGGGTATTGTTTGAGGATTTTGATTGGAGAAGAAAGTTGGAGGCAATTTACTTTCCTGTACAGAAAAGAAACTAATATAAATTGGCATAGTTATAAAAAGAAAGAAGCAGCTCTGAGAAGACATTGATAATAAGTGTAATTTAAAAATTTATGTATACTTACAATTAAATAAATCATATTTAAAATAAAGATAATAAATTCTCAAAAAATAAAAAAATAAATGTATAGTCCACAGAAATGTGTATTACTATCAATGCAAAAATCTTCCCACTTAGCTATTACCCATTTTCTTCTATAATTTCTCATATTTGCAGGCTAGGAAAACATAAGAATCTTCCCCTAGGAAGGATCCTGATATTCCCTATGATACCCATAGACACTAAAACAAAAAAAAGAAATAGAGAATATTACTTTCATTTTAGTTTCTCTATTTATTATTGTAGGTATAAGGGCGAATAATTGTTTCCTCTTTAATTTGCTGATTGGCTCTATGAATGGACTGATGATGGATTTATAGATGAATGAATGGATGGATGCATGAATGAGTAAATGAATGAATGAATGAATGAGCATACATTTTCATGGTATCTCTCTTATCCAGAATTAATCCCTTCAAGGTTCCTCTGAATCTCAGTGATTCTAGAGGAAAGAACTGTTGTTTTTCTTATACCCCTGCCTCCAACCCCTAAGAGATACCAGAATCTCAGGGTAGGGCTCATGTTTCCTCCCAGCTCCTTCCCCTGACAGTCTACCCCCATTCTCTTCCTAGCTTTTTTCAACTCCCACTGACCTAACACCATAAAATCAGCATCTCTTTGCTCTTCAACCTCTCCCACTCTACTGGATCCTTTTCCTGTACCCATAAATGTGTTACATATATATTCAAAGAGAATCATGATCTCTCTCTGAGTGTGTCAGTGAAAAGCTCAGTGCTTCACAAGGCTCTTCCACACTGTAGACCTGATACCCAGCAGAGAGAGATTCACACACACACACACACACACACACACACACACACACAACCATCCTATAACTAAACAATTATCCTCATTGATTCTTATCTTGACATACTCTAATTGTTACACTAATAACATAATTTGGTTTTTTTTAAATAGAGACAAATACTGAAGAGTCCAGAAGCCTTACTGCTCTTCAGATGTTGTGCCACATGACTACGCGTCACAATTCTTTGACTATAAAAATGGATATTTGAAGTATTCTTTTTTTTAATATATTTTATTGATTTTTTACAGAGAGGAGGGAGAGGGTTAGAGAGTTAGAAACATTGATGAGAGAGAAACATGGATCAGCTGCCTCCTGCACGCCCCCTACTAGGGATGTGCCCACAACCAAGGTACATGCCCTTGACCAGATTCGAACCTGGGACCCTTCAATCCACAGGCCGATGCTCTATCCACTGAGCCAAACCGGTTAGGGCTGAAGTATTCTTGAGAATAAAGGAAATCTGCCAACAGGCTGTCCCCAGTGACTTAACATAAAAATGTGCACATAATGAAAATAGTGGATTTCAAATATGATTCTCATCAAATATACTCACATAACTTATAATTCTTTCATGTGTCTTTAGCAAAGTTTGATATTAAAAACAAAGAGAAATACTCAAAAACTCTAAAAAAAACACTTATGACAAATTTAATAATCTATGAAAGCATTTAAGTAAAATTACATACTCCAAAGTTGACTATTACTAAAAACACTAATGCATACTAATTATTTTGTGTATAGCATTGAGACATTTTTCTAGTCAATTCAGGAAATTATAATAACAAATTTGAAATGAGGAGAAAAAAGACAACTTATGTGTTGAGTGTCCTAAGATTACTCTATTCATGTTTTCAAGTAGCTATAATATATTACTTATTTATCTACTAAAAACTACTGTAAGTGTTGAGGGTTTTATATAAAACCTAATGACATTGTTGATGGCAAAGACAGAGTACACATTGTTAAATGTAGCACATTTCTAGATAGTTTAATTTAAATTAAAACAAATTTCTTTACTTTTAAATTTTTTTACTCTTTAAACCCTATTTTTACCTTGAAAAAATCATTATTCAAGGTGTGTTAAGTGAAAAAATATTATTTGAATATCTTTTCAATGAAAGTATAAATTACTATTATTATGCTACTAGAGGTCCAGTGTACGAAATTCATGCATGGGTGGAGACGCTAGGCCTGGCCAGCGATCAGGGCCTATCAGGGCTGTCTCACACAGTCCTGTTGGGGCCAGGCTGGCTGGAGGATGCCAGCTGCCAGCTGCTAGCCAGGGTCTGGGGGCCTGCAAGCTGGGGCCTGGGGGCCTGCCAGCTGCCAGACGGGGCCTGCCTGCTGGACAGGGCCAGTGGGACAGGGGGAGGGATGGGAGGAGGGACCACAGGAGGTTTGCTGGTGGTGGGGAGGGACCGGGGGAGGTTGACTGGCCATGGGAGCTTGGAGGTTGGCTATGGGAGCTCGTTGAGCGTCTGCCCCGTGGTGGTCAGTGCACATATAGCAACTGACTGACCAGTCGTTCGGTCGTAACAGTCGCTTAGGCTTTTTTATATATATATATATATGACATATCCTGTATAATAAAAGCCTAATATGCTAAGTGTCCAACCGTTCGTTCAACCATTTGACCAGTCACACTGACCACCAGGGGGCAGACGCTCCCACCGGCAGGTTAGCTTGCTGCTGCGGTCCAGCTGATCAGGACTGGGCAAGACGGGCCGAACATGCCCTGGAGCCATCCTGTGGTCCCTCCCCAGCCCCAATCATGCACCAGTGGGGTCCCTTGGCCTGGCCTGCACCCTCTTGCAATCTGGGACCCCTCATGGGATGTCAGAGAGCCGGTTTCAGCCCAATCCCCGCAGGCCAGGCCAAGGGACCCCACCAGTGCACGAATCCATGCACCAGGCTTCTAGTCAATATATAAAGACACATATCTCTATGGTTTAGCCCAGCCGTGGGCAAACTACGGCCCGCGCGTTTGAAATGAATAAAACTAAAAAAAAAAAAAGACCGTACCCTTTTATGTAATGATGTTTACTTTGAATTTATATTAGTTCACACAAACACTCCATCCATGCTTTAGTTCCGGCCCTCCGGTCCAGTTTAAGAACCCATTGTGGCCCTCGAGTCAAAAAGTTTGCCCACCCCTGGTTTAGCCCTTTATCTTGCTTCTCTCTCCTTTTCACTGGTTTTACTTCCTTTCTAAAGTAAAAACATGATTTCTTTTCTCAGCTATTCATCTAAAATGCAGGAGATATGCTCCAACACCATTGCCAAATGGTTTCTCTTACATGCATTCGAAGGACTGAAATGTTTTCTTTGGTTAGGTTTTTCTATTTGGTTTTGTTTTTTCCAGTCATTCCATCTATCACTTTGATTCCCTCTAACACAAGCAAATCTAAATTGACAAATAGGATATCCCCAGGGTGACCTTTCTGCATAGCTCAAAGCCAACCTATACAATAAAATATGTCCTTCAGATCCAGAACCACTGGGTTCTATTAAATGTGTACTCACAAAAGGGCTTACTTGTTACTCCTCTCATGACAGGAACTATCCTACATATAAATCAAGTCAAGGTTGCTGATATTGCTTTGTTCTTTCATCTCAGGGACAAGAAGTAGAGGGCACTGTTATGAACTAAAATAAGATCTAAGTGAACCTTCAGAGCCTTTACAAACATGTCCTTTCACTGCAAAACTCACAAGCGTTTTCAAAGCTACACTGAGCACCAGAATTAGAGGCAAGGAAACTAAAAATTAAGGGAAGTAAAAATTATCCACATATATAATCCTACTCGAAGAGTGTTTTCCAGTTAAGAGATAAAAGACAAACCTAATTTGGCCAAATTATCTTCTAACTATGTGATCCTGCCTTTAATACACACTAAGTAAAGAAAGTTGTTGAGTTCATATTTTCATGCCAAAAAATATATAAAATAATAAGCCAACAAGTCCTTGAAGAACCTTGGCTACATATAATTATTATTTGAATAATTCTGTTTCTTATAAAAATCTTCTGGGTCTTTTGGATGTAATTACCCTGATTTATTGGAGATCAAGGCAATAATAGGCAAGAAACTGCAGAATTTTGCAAGTGAAGTCAAAGCAAGGTCAAAGTCTGACAAATTGTTACCAACCTCTTGTAGCAACATCACAGTGTAGATCCAAAACAAAAATCCTACTAACTTGCAGGTATTACATTCCAAAGCATTTACATCTTATAATTCATAAAATCTTAAGAGTCGGTGAGTACCTCCCAGACCATTCAAGAATACCTTCTACAATATCCTTAATTTCAACAATGTACTGGGCTAAGGTGGTCAGAAATGATGAGATGCTCACTATACCAGTAGATGCCAGTGGTTACTTGTATAAAGTTCTTCCGTATTGAGTTGAAAGCTGCCACTTCTATCCATCAGAGGTGGCTTTATAGAGTGTGGAAGGTACACGTTGGGAGACAGACAGACTCCCAACTACAAATAATTGTTATTTGAATAATGTTATTTCTTATAAAAAT